ATGAGTGGTACTAAAAATTTGAAGAACAAATAATAAAAGTCTACACAAACTCCTTGAGAAAACCAAAAATGGGGAATAATGTCCGATTTCTTTTATGACACCAGCATTTTGCCAGTGCAAAATCAAGGATGCTATAAAAAAAAAAACAGAAAAATATGCTCATGAAATTTGACTCAGAAAAAAATATCAACAAAAGCTTAGCTATAATAGATCTAATTCAACAGTATATAAAAGTTGTTCATTCTAGAGTGAACTGGTATACAGAGGGGTTTATCTAGGAATGCAAAACTAGTTCAACATTCAAAAATTGAACACATATGATCATCTCAAAGATGCAAAAAAAGTAACTGACAAAAATTCAACATCCAGAAAAAAGAAACTCTCATTCAGAAAATTGTTTAATAAACAAACAAACAAAAAACTCTCAGCAACTTAAGAATGAAAGCCAAGAACTTTGATTATGGAAATCTACAAAAGTGCAACAGTTACCATCACAACTAGAAAATAAAAGGCTCAGTACTTTGATGCTAAGATCAGGAATAAGTTAAGAATTTCCACTCTCACCTTTCCTCTTCAATTTCACAGCAGAAGTCATAAGCAAAGCAATAAGGCAAGGAAAAAACAAAAGACATACAGATTGGAAAGAAACAACTAACATTGTATCTATTTGCAGACAACATTATTGTCTGTGTAGAAAATAGCCAAAAATATCTACCAAAAAAGCTAGAAGAAATTTTATCAAAGTTGTGCAATATAAAGTCAATATACAAAAATCAACTGTCTACAAAATAGCTATGAAAATGGAAAAATAAACTTTTTAAATGTACCATTTATTATAGGACCAAAAAGCAGAAAATTAGAAACAAAATCAAACAAAATATGTACAGAATCTTTATTCTATAGTCTACAGAACACTGATAAAAGAAATAAGACAAAATCAAATGAAGATATACATATGTGTGTATGTGTTCATGGATTGAAATTCTCATTATTGTTAAGATGTCAGTTTTTTCTAAACTGACCACTAGGGGCAGAGCTAGGCTCCTGACTGCAAGGTACACAGCTGTCAAAACTAAGAATACATTTAGAAGGGCAACTGGACTCACAACTGTTGTTACCGCAACCTGGTGCTCAGTGGCCTAAATTCACACCACCAGTAACTCAGAAACCAGTGTTCAATCAAGCAGCAAACACTGTCAGAGGTCCAGTCCCTTGTTGAGCTGTTTGGTAAATGGTAACAAAAAGAGAATGGAGGGTAAAAGGAAAGAGCCATTAAAATACAATGTGGCTGGGCTCTCTCATTGGCTCTGTGTTCAGCATCACCTTATATATAAATGAATGGGCAACAAGGAACAGTGCCTGAACACAACACACAAGAAAACAGAAAGCAAAGTGGGTAAGATAATTATCTCAACAGATAACCTGTGACTGCTTTATGGAGGATATGCTATTTGTTTAAGAGATTTATGCACCAGAAAGGTGGGTACAGATAAAAGGAAAGGGGAGGGGAAGGCAAGGAAGAGGGAGGGAAAATGAAAGAAAATAAGGAAGAAAAATACCGAAAGTGGAGGCAGTGCGAACAAAGACCTAAAGCTAAGCTACAAATGTCGAATATGCATAAATAACAGGAAATTAGCTAGTCAGATGGGAGCAGAGTGCATGGAGCAGCAACAGGAAGTGGGTACATTATCACTGAATGAAATCATCCACAAGGAGGCATAACCGCTTGTGTTTCCAATGTTAGACATGGTGTTTGTACACCAGGAGATAGGGCAATCAGGGTTACCTCCTTCCTGCTCTGTTAGTTCACTGCCTCACTCGAAGTAAACAAACAATAACTGAGCAACTATTATGCCTATTATTAAACAAATAATAAAAGAGCAACACAGAGGCAAAGTACTGTGAGTAATTCAGAAGCAATATGTCACTATACCCTTAAGTGGGATTTACAATCTAGACAGCAGAATCCAAACTACTCACACACACACACACAAAAAAAACCAAATAGCTCAGGTAAAAGGATTAATGAATCTGCCTTCTAGTCTTTGCCTCCAAGGCACAGAATCAATAAGCAATTTCTGAATCTATGGTATTGGCAATATTCTGTGCTAGATATTGAATGTACATTCTCAAATTTAGTTTTGTTTACTTTTACCTTTTCCCTCTTTGCCCCTTCTTTCTAGAACTCAACATATCTAGTCAGTGTGTAAGTCAAGAGACAAATGCAAAAGAAACCACATTGTAGAATGGATATTTTAAAAGGACATCTTAAAAATACTCATTTTATTAATGGGTAAACTGAGATTGAGAACAATCTGAAATTTTGTCCGGGGTCAGACAGTGAATGAGTTAGGGAGAAGGGATTTAACTCCAGTTTTAACACTTTAAAAATCCATTGTTTTTATACTGAGCAAAATACAGTCCCTGAAAACCATTTAAAGAAATTAAAAGAATTGTCATTTAGTTGTGAAAATTCCTTCTGAAAAAGGAAACAGTGAAGATCAATTTCATGCCAGAAAGCATGTTCCCCAGGCACCAACTCATTCTGAAATAGGTGATTATTCAATCTGGCTGTAATATACCATCTCTGTTTTCCTCCCTGTTTTATGTTTTCATGTTAATCATTTTACTTCCTTTTCTTTTTTTAAGCCATATTCAATTAAGATTTTTAATTAGTTTTCAAATTTGAGACACATCTCTAGTAGAAAGCAAACAATAAGAGCAGAAATTAAGGGGCAGCTGTCTCATCTTTCTGGGGATGAAACAAGGCTTTTTTGTTTCTAAGTTATAAATACTAGGGAAATTTTCAAGATTTTTTTAAAGAAATAGTTAACTGAGTAGTTAACTGAATTGAAAGATACTGAATTTATCTAAGAAAGTCAACGTTCTTTCCAACACATGCTGAGAACCTTTCTTCTGGGATAACCTTAGGTTAACTCTAACACTGTGAGTCTTTAAAACTTTTATTGCTGCAAATACAGAATCTCCACATTTTATACAAAACCAAATCAGTTCTTTAGATTCTAAAGTAGGCACCAACCCATGATATCTTCCTCACTTTTAAAATTCTGTGAGTTTTACAAATAAAGGAGAATAAGCACTTTCAGTGGAGAGGAATAAGATTCAGAGCAGCTAAGATGCAGATACTATTTTTTTGTGGTTTTCCTTTTATTTAAGAGAACAAATATTACTAACATTAACATTGAAAATTACTTAGTAAGCTTTTATTCCAGGACTCCTTATTGGTACTTTCAGGTATTATTTTCACATTCAAAGTATAATCAGGATTTGAAACAATTAACCATATAATTCAGGTCAAGAAAAATCTTCTGCCTGAAAAGCTAACCTATAGAAGCAAACAGGTTTTGTTTTGTTTTCTTTCTTGGCTTGAATTATCCAGATTCTGGAAAATTATTAAACACATTTTAATGTGCAAAGCCAGAAAACAGGTCAGGTTACCTAAAAGCAGGCCAGCCTCAGGAGGATAAGGAACCCCTTAAAATACATATTTCTAAGACAGAAACTTCTAAAACAGTTCCTCATGTAAACCTGGAAATAATGGTTAAGTAATAGCAGGTTCACTAAAGGTGCACACACATACACAAACACATTCACATTTGTATATATTACAGAACTTCCCAGAACCCATGTGGATGTGTGTACAGTATTCAGAAATTTTCAAACCTTTTTGATCCCAAACCATTTTATATAGAACAGATGATAGAACTAGTGTTTGGACTCACCGAGAACCTTATTGCACAGTCATAAGCCTTTTATGCTGGACCCTGGCAGGAGATGTGGGAGGGTGGGGTTGGGTGGTAGATTTGAAAGCTTGTCTTCATACACCCAGGGGACCAGAAGAAAGACCAAATGACATAGGACAGAAATGCCAAGGGCAAAAACTGGCCAAGCAAAGCTGGTTTGAAGACGCTTCTACCATAACCACTAAGGCCCTATGGGATAGGCTGATCGCCATATTCATGTTCATTCATTTTCTTTCTCTTTGGCTGCACCACAGGGGGTGTGGGATCTCAGTTCCCTGAGCAGGGATCGAACCTGTATTCCTTGCGCTGGAAGCATGGAGTCATAACCACTGGATCATCAGGGAAATCTCCATCTCATTTTTCAACACAGCTTCATTTTCTGCTTCTCTCCACCTCTGTGACCTTCCTTAATCTTTTTCAGTTATGTTCTTTATTCACTGCTGTTCTTTCTACCTGGGACTCTTCGCTTTATACTTCAAGCTCTGAGTTTAACGCCGTCTTCCACAGAAACACCCTCTGTTCAGTCCATCTATAATAGATTCCTCTCTTCTTTCCCAGTATTTTCCCTACAGAATTTTTCTTCATAACATTTATCACAGTTTTTATTTACATATTGATACTTGTTTATTTATTTCATGTCATGTTCACAAGACTACAAGCACCATGAAGGCAGGAAGAGACTATGTCTGTTTTGTCCAAATTTATGATCACCAAATTCCTCATAGATGAGTGTTTGCCATATAGCAGGCCTTTTATAAATATGTGTTAATTTAATAATAAATAATAATAATTAGTTCCTTCACATATCTCCCTGAGTGAAAGTTGCTCAGTCGTGTCTGACTCTTTGCTTACCCCATGGACTATACAGTCCATGGAATGCTGCAGGCCAGAATACTAGAGTGGGTATCCTTTCCCTTCTCCAGGGGATCTTCCCAACCCAGGGATCGAACCCAGGTCTCCCACACTGCAGGCAGTTTCTTTACCAGCTGAGCCACAAGGGAAGCCCATGTCTCCCTTGGCCTGCCCTAATTGAAATCCTCAAAATTGATTTAATGTATACATAGAAATAAGTTCCTCTTTAGGATATAATCATCTATCTATAATATGAAGTCACACACATTCTAAAACATCAAACTTGCATCTTTGTAAAATATTTTTATGATGGGGGCTGTAGCTTGAATAAATCATCAATCTAAATCAATATTATGGGTTGATTATTGAGAACCACTCTCGTACCTGCTCTCTTGTATTCTTCAAATACTTCTACTCTTTTATTACTGCCTTGCTGATTTCAGAGCTCTGCAAAGAACAAAAAGAAAAATGTTAGGATTTGTTGTTTCACCAGGAACTCCTCTTTTTTAAAAAAACAATTATTGGAGTATAGTTGCTTTATATGTTGTGTTAATGTCTGCTATACAGCAAAGTGAATCAGCTATACATATACACAGATCCCTTTCCTGGATTTCCTTCCCCTTTTGGTCACCACAGAGCACTGCGTCTATTTCCTGTGCTATACAGTAGGTTCTCATCCATTATTAATTTTATCCATAGTATCAATAATGCATATATGTCAGTCCCAATCTCCCAATTCATCCCAGCCCTTCCTTCCCCCCTTGGTGTCCATACATTGTTCTCTACGTCTGTGTCTTTATTTCTGCTTTGCAAATAGCTTCATCTATAGGAATGCCTCTTTCCTAGGTAAAATATTTAGTTTGCTTGTAATGCCCATTATTCCAAACTTGAGGACTTATGATCATAAGATCCATGGAATACAGCTATTTCTTATTTGTATTCAAATTAATCTGCTTCGTTCAGCTCACAGAGGTCTACAGGAAAGAACTCTAGCTGACTCATTCATTTGCTTACATGCACCAAGCACTATCCTAAGTTATTGGATCAACTCATTTATTCCTCATAACTACTGGACAGACAAGGGTTAACTCAGCAGGCTTGCATTACTGAAATGCTACCCTTTCTAAAGAAAGGTCCTCCTTCAGAACTGGCCTTAGTCCAGCTCCTGGAAGATGACCTCTGAGCTCTCGGCATAGGCTGACTGATGAGAGAGTTTCCATATATGTTTCTGCTGCTCCAGGTGGGCCAGATACATTTATGGTGAACACCTCTTTTTGCTTGAAGGGGAGGGTCTGAAGTCTGAACAGTGAGGTCAGTCATCTGGTGCTGCAAGCTTCTGTGACTGACCTCTAATAAAACTCTAGACACCACAGGTCAGCTGAGCTTCCCTGGCTGACCACATGGGACCAGTTCACACATGTGGTCACACACGGTGGCGGAGAGAATTAAGGGCATCCCCATGTGCCGTTAGGGGCTTCCCAGGTGACTCAGTGGTAACGAATCTGCTTGCCAGTGCAGGAGGCGAAGGAGACATGGGTTCGATCCCCGGGTCAGGAAGATCCCCTGGAGTAGGACACGGTGACCCGCTCCAGTATTCTTGCCTGGAGAATCGCACGGACAGAGAAGCCTGGGGACCAGGGGATCGCAAAGAGTCAGACACAACTGAGCATGCACACACGCAGGGGCCCTTAAGACACAAAACCTCCAAAAAAAGATGTCATTTTCATCATAGGGGACTGGAATGCAGAAGCAGGAAGTCAACAGATACTCAGAATAACAAGGCAAGTCTGGCCTTGGGATACAATATGAAGAAGGGCAAAGGCTAACAGAGTTTTGTCAAGAGAACATGCTGGTCATAGTGAACACCTTCTTTCTACAACACAAGAGATGGCTCTACACAAGGACATCACCAGATGGTCAATGCCAATATCAGATTATGTTCTTTACAGCAAAGATGGACAAGCTCTCCACAGTCAGTAAAAATAAGCCCTGGAACTTATTGTGGCTCAGATCATCGGCTCCTTATTGCAAAATTCAGGCTTAAATTGAAGAAAGTAGGGAAAACTACGAGGCCATTCAGGTATGATGTAAATCAAATCCCTTATGATAGACAGTGGAGGTGATGAATAGATTCAAACAACTAGATGTGATAGACAGAGGTTGGGAACATCGTACAGGAGGCAGAGAAACCATTCCAAAGAAAAAGAAATGCCAGAAGGCCCAGTGGTTGTCTGAGGAAGCTTTACATATAGCTGAGCAAAGAAGAGAAGCAAAAAGCAAGGGAGAAAGGGAAAGAAATACCCAGTTGAATGTAGTTACAGAGAATAGCAAGGAGAGATAAGAAGGCCTTTTCAAATGAACAATGCAAAGAAAGAAGTGACACAAAAAGGGAAAGACTAGAAGCCTATTCAAGAAAACTGGAGATATCAAGGGAACATTTCATGCAAGGATGGGCACGATAAAGGACAGAAACAGTAACAATCTCTTCTCTATCAGAAGAGATTAAGAGATGGCAAGAATACACAGAAGAACTAAAAAAAAAGGTCAAAGTGAATCAGCTACACATACACACATATCCCTTCATTTCTGGATTTCTTTCCCATTAAGGTGACCACAGGGCATTGATTAGAGTTCCTTTGCTATACAGTAGGCTCTCATTAGCTATCTATTATATACATAGTATTGGTAGTGTGTATATGCCAATACCAATCGATGACTGAGTATAACAGCTTTTCTGAATCTTGGGAACCCTTCTAACAAATAATTGAGACTAAGGGTGGCCTTTGGGATCCCCAACAAACCACCCTGCGAGACACCATTACCCGCATAATATAGACAGTGAAGTGAAGTGAAGTCGCTCAGTTGTGTCCGACTCTTTACGATCCCATGGACTATATAGCCCATCAGGCTCCTCTGTCTGTGGAATTCTCCAGGAAAGAATATACTGGAGAGGTTAGCCATCCTTCTCCAGGGGTCTTCCTGGGAATTGAACCTGGTTCTCCTGCACTGCAGCCAGATTCTTTACATCAGGGAAGGAATTGGCAAAGAAAGGAACTGGACAATGAATTCTGAGCTAACCCAGAATTCCACAGCTAGTTTAAGTGTCAGTATTTAAATCTGAACCCGATGATCTGGTTTAGGTATTTTACCACCACTATGACATGTGGTTTATCAAAATATTTATTATGTGCCATTTAATACATGTATCCAAAAATGCCACCTGGTTCTTTTTCTTATTTTGTTGTCAGGAATGATAATTTTCAAATTGTAAATGTACCATCAGTTACCAAATTTCATTTTGTCTGTCAACAAAAGAGCAACAATTCTTTTGAGTTAAAGTTGTACTTTCTGCTATATTTTATTCAAAACAAACTTTCTTCCAGTCATGTCAAAAATGCAGATGTGATGTTAATATTTTCTCACTAACATCCTCATATATTTCTTTCTATATGGTTTTTAATACAGGGGGATGAAAACTACAGAGTTAGCTTTAAATCAAACACCAGGTTTTGTTTAATTTGGGGAAAACAAAACACCTTATCACAGTTTTTCTTAAGATTTATAATATTTTGAGTTTAAGAGATCCAGAATTACCTTGAAGTGTTAGAAGAAATAGTTTCATAATAGGAGAAAGCATTAGACTGATCAGTTGCTATTAAAGAAAATGTAAACCATCTACTGATTTCTAAACACAATGGATTAAAACAATATGCCAGTTACGTACAAAAGTCATGAATTTGCTACATTAATCTTTTTTAAGGTAGACTCTGCAAAAAACACTTTGGTCTAATTGGTCATCTTCATTAGCTGGGTGAAGTAGCTTTGAGTCAACTTATTCTAATACTGGAACAAAACCATAATTTATTATCTTATCTTTTTAAATTCACCCTAAACTAAGCATTGGACACTGTTGTACACATATGGATTCCTGTGTCTTGTTCTTATCACTCAAACAGGCTGTACATCTCTTGATATTCTGGTGTCATGACATCTGCAAAAGTAAGGAGTCTTCCTTGCAGTGTGGATGTTCAGAAGCCAGTGTAGTCTCAGAGTGTCCAAACAGTCCTTAAATAACTTCCAAAAGTACAAGTAAAGAATGCAGAGGAAGGGAAATCCTTCACATAGTGATGCTGAAATACATGAATGTAAACTGGATAACTGTGAAAATGCAAAGAATAAAAGTTTATGATGCAGAAGTATCAATGGTGTTACGTGAGCCTGAGTCTTTCATACCTGTTTTGTTTCTTTTATCTTGTTATTTATTAATTCTCAGCTCCCATCACAAAACAAGAACTAATTTACCCAAACCCACCAAAGTGTTGGGTTGTCTTAAGTAAATATCCCACAGAGTGAATGCAAACAAAAGCCTTATTTAACACTTATCATTGCCTTCACAATAAATGATCAAGTAGAATACTGGCCTTAATTAGAACATAAAGTTTTCTTAAGAAAATAGAAAATTCTGTCTTAGACAACTTCAACTAAGTATTCAAATAAATTGAATATTATTGATTAGCAATAAATTAGGCAATATTTTAAAAAATGGAGTAGCCTTTTTTGGGTTTCCCTTTATGTTGTTTGGTTTCTTTTTTCCTCCCCTTTTTTCCTTAATTGGGGCGGGTTTTCTTGCTCCCGTTTTTCCTTCCCTTCGGGGTTTTTGTTTTGTTGGGGTTTTGGCCAAGTCCCAGCTGGATATATTCTTTTTCCACATTGCCCCATGAAATTATTGCTGGTCTTGAGATGCCTTGTTGTTGATCTCAGACAGCCTGGTGACTCCAGGTCAAGTGTCCCATCAGTGAGAGGTTTGGGGATACTATGCCAAAGGCAAGAGCTAAGTGGGGTGTAGTTTAGAAAGGACTAGGAAGAGATGACATATATGTCAGGATGTTATATAGTACGGAGATCCTCTCTGTTTCTGAAAAACTCAAGTATTTGTCCCCTAAAAGATCCAGCAGTTAAAACCTGTTTCACAGATATTATATATAACATATACATACATAGTAAAATTAGTAGAATCTGTCTGTCTCTGAAATAGATGTGAAAATTTAACCCTATCTCAAAAGTAGACTTTTTAAAAATTAAACTTTAATTAGAGGATAATTACTTTATAATATTGGGCCTACCTCTTGGACCTTCCTCCCACCTCCCACCCCTCTGGATTGTCACAGAGCACTGGATTTGAGATCTGTGCATCATACAGCAAATTCCCATTGGCTATATGTCTAAAAGCAGACTTCTAAAATCTTACTTTAGGTCTTCAATTTCCACCCCTTACTGTAAAAACAAAACAGAATTTATAATAGCTAAAAATGAGATTATTCTCAAATGCTTATAATCTTTGCATCAACTAAAAAACTACAAAAAACTTCCTACAAGAATTTAGAAAATGACTCAAGAAAAGTCTCAGGATACAAGATAAATTTGCAATAATAACTTCTATATAACAG